AAGCAAAAAATGCTAAATATTGGATAGTCTCGTGATGGTAAACTTTGGGGCCTAAACAATCCCTTATTTGAGAACATAATTAACCTATTAATTGAACAAAAAATAACCGTTAGATGCAGCCCTAGCCACCCCTGTACTGTAACTAAGTTTGTATTTGCATAACTTGAGTGTCATAAGATTTGTCTTAAGGAAAGATCATAAACTGCTCCAGCTGTAACTTGGTATATTAATGTAGGACCTGTATGACAGTTATTATGTGTATTGCAAGTGAAATTTTCAGAAGCTGGAAATAGTTCAGTGTCATTTGAGCTTTTGGCTCCTCAGTAATATGCCCAGGCCATAAGCTGCACAAGTTGAATGGACTTGAAAGTAAGAATCTAAAATTACTTTTGCTGCCTTGTTGGATTTGAGCAATGTTGAGTCAGAAATTAAGTGATGAGGCACCCTACTAGCAGAAATGTGAGAAAGTGGTGGCTGAGGACAAATACAGAGACATTCATGACTTTCATTTTCAGAGCAAAATGGAGCTGCTATGCCTTTTATGTAGCAAAATTGAGAGAGTGATGGAAATGTTTGGAAAATGGTCAAGATTCAAACAATCACACTGTTTATATGGACGGTACTTTGGAGACACAAATATTTGACTCAGCAGGCTAGAAACCTAGAAAGGCTGAGGGAAATCTTTGGTGTCACTTTCTCTTATCTGCTTTTGTTGAAGTCGAGAGAGTAGAAAAGTTAGTTGTAGTTGATAGTTTTCTTGCAGCTACAGTATTTGTGTTTGGGGGTGTTCAAAGCAGCAGTTCCTTTCTCCTTACATGCATCCTCACCACACAGTTCTGGGAATGATGGAGTGTGCTGCACTTCTGAATGAGAAGGTGGTCCCCGAGGAGTCAGATCCTGGACTTGTATGTATTGTATGTATAAGTGCTCACATAGTAGGACTGCTGGAGAACAATACATTGCATTTTTTTCTATGCAAACAAATTGTTTTGTAGAGAAACTATCACAAACAGTAATTTAATTTGAGCAATCAAATTTATTTGCTTAAATATATTTGCTTGATTGCTGTTATCACCATATACACTAACAATCTCTCTCATTCACTTTCACACATTTGCCTTTATACATTTGTCTTTGTGACTCTCCAAAGCCCTTGGACATTTGATCAGTGTCTCTTGGTTTTCCAGTATCTCTGCTCTGCACACTCCCTTAACCTGTTATAATAACCAGGCAGGTTTCTGTTCAAAGGTAGAGCAAATTTGAAAAATGATTGCAAAAAATTAGCAAAAGAAAATGTGAAATAATCCCAATTTCCATCCGCTACTGTTGGTGAATAATAGCTATGACTAAGTCAACTGGCAACTTGATGACTACCAGTTACACAATCATGGGATTGTAATCATTGATGTTTCCTTTAAAAAGACTTATTATAGGCGAACATTACCATCCTCCCAGTGCTTCCTTGCATCCTCATGCCGGGTTTCCACTGTAGAAAGCTAACGAAACAGAACGTGCAACTTTCTGCTTTTTTTCCACTACTCCCCACCGTCTTAGTCAAGTTTGGGAACTAACTTTTGGCACCCCTCGGGAGGTAGTACTAAAATGAAGTTTAAAAAATGCAAAGGGGGAGAGGATGGATGCGCGGAGGGCACCCCATCAGGGCTGAAGTAGCCTGTGAGGTTATGCCGGGTAGCATTTATGGGAAGCTCAGGTTTATGGCTCATTAGGTTCCTACAGTGGAAACCTGGCACTAGTTATTGATGATGCTAGTAGTAGTCAGATTTGAAACAGAACTAAAATCAGAAAAGACCCACTCCAACTGTCCAAGTGTACAGCAGGGATTTTTGTTTGCTCAAATTAAATGGTTCTTTTCTTGATGATAATTTCTATACAAAATGTAACTTGTGTAATACCTCTGCTAAAGAGATTGGTTTTGGTTCTCTGTGTGTGTGTGTTGGTTAGCAGGATTACAACAGGCTGGATGATCATATAAATCTCCATCAAAAGTTGTTAAAATCATTTGAAATTTGACACGTATGTATGGTAACAGTGTCTATCCCCAGACTAAATTTCCTCCAGTTCTGATCCAGATTCTGTATCTGACGGCCATTTGCAGTCCACATTTAAAATCCTATGTAACACACATTTTCTGCCATCACTTGGCCTATAATGAAGATAGAACCCTGAAGTATAACTGCCTGACTTACCCTTAAAGATGACACAGATCTGATCCAGATCAAGAATCTTATGACCCATTTTGTGTTGTTCTCGAGCTCATTCTTCAAAAGGGACCTGATTGTGTGAGAGAATGTTCTGCCATGGCAGAGGAATGTGGTTTCTGCATGCGCTTGTGTAACATTTGTCTGATCTCAAAATGCACCACTGTGGGCTTAGAATTGGAGCACAAATGTAATTTGATAATAAGGATGAACGATATGGAAGAAAATGTAATCACAATATATTTTTCATATTGTTCGATAATGGATAATTCTCAACTACTTGTAATGCCATTAATGACGGAGACACATTCAACATGTTTGTTGAAACCATAAGGATACATACAGTATGTTATAGTGAGTACTACTGAATGTAGTAAGCCTACAAGAAAACTGCAGAATACCTTTTTAAATTCAAGGGAATTGTTCAGTATTGGATTGAATTTGAGATGAATCACAAGATTTATTATCAGAATTAGCTTTACTGGCCAAGTATGCTGAACAAAGGATTTGACATACAGTGGCTCTCAATCAATGTGCTGCTGTTTTGGTGCACAGGGACCTGTAACACCATCCAGAGGGGAGGAGTTCAAACAGTTTGTGTCCAGGGTGTGAGGGGTCTGTAGAAATCTTCTCTGCCCTCCTTTTGATCTGTGAGGTGTACAGGTCTTCCATGGAGGGCAGGCTCACACCAGTGATTCTTTCTGCAGCTCTGACTGTCCACTGAAGTCTGTACTTGTCCTGTTTGGTTGCTGAGCCAAACCAGACAGTGATGGAGGTGCAGAGAACAGACTCGATGATTCCTCTGTAGAACTGTATCAGCAGCGCCTGGGGCAGGTCGAATTTCCTGAGCTGGTGCATATATATAATATCTATATACATAATCTATCCTATATTATTGTATATATTGTATATATTACTGTTACTCATACCTATACTTGTATTGTTTAGAGTACACACATCATGGTTGCCACAGTTGTAACTGGATTTCTGGATTTTTGTTACACAAACATCTGCATAATTGTTTTATGTAATCTAAGTTTATGTGCAATGTGCTTATGTATAGATTTTTAATGTCATCATTCATCTCCATTCATTGATACACTGGTTATGTTACCTATCCTGTGGAGCATCAGGTAGTTGTTAACCTGTCTTTGTTTATCTTAACTGGAGGTTCAGGCCTTATCCAACCTATTGTATCTTAAAAGCCTCATGACAGGGGTGTCATGTATCTCAGGGCTATTTTGACTAAAGGTAAAGGTGAAACACAATATTCTCTTTCTTCATTTCATAATAACCAACATGCAAACTTTTGAAAGCCATCATTTAAGATTTTGATCTGATTTCCACCATCTTTTGAATACTTATGGATGTTAAGCTCCCACTACATTCCTGTTGTGACACTTTTCTTTTCTCCCTGGCCCCTTGTTGAGTGATCAACCTTTTTCTAAACTCTCTAAGTGATCTTTGTCAGCCTCACTGCCTTTGACAAGGTCAGCTGGGAGGCAGACCTCATATACTGTGTGTGTGTGTGTGTTTAGTCAGTGCCTTGTTCAGGATTTTGTGCAGAAATACATATCAACGTGTTTGTTTGAGTCGTTCTTTAATTTTTCTTGGCAATAACAAGGAGACAGTTTTAAATATGATTGAATTTACAAGTCACCTGTGTAGTATGTGTGCTTTCTGGGATTTATAATTATAACAATGATTTTTTTTAAAAGTTTTGTGTATGGTCCACTATGCAGTGTGTTTGTAAGAATGTTTATCTTTTGAAAAGTGCTGTGAAAACTCTGTTTCTGTGCATGCAGGTCTTGCTTTTTGATACTCTGGATATAAAAACCTTAGATGAAAAAGTGGCATAATTAGACTGGTAAAGTGAATTCAGTAAGTAGTTGTGTAAAAGGGTTTGATGGAGCAGGCAGGACAGAGAATTACTCATGACTATACTTCCCTGCATTTAGACTCGGATGCCGCAACCCTTAAATCCAATCATCTCAATGAAGAGATGTCATTTCAGTATTTGCTGGACACTGACATCTCGCAGCTGCTATAGATTGTTCCATCCACCCCAAAACAGATCTGTTTCTCTTTCAATTTCCTCTGTTGCCTAATCTAGTTTATCAGACTCATACAGAAGTAGAGTCAATGCTGCATTTTGGATGATGGGTAAAAATCGCTTTTGACATATTGTTTGTGTGTGTCTTGAATTACAGTGTATGTACAATCAGTGTGTGTCACTAGCCGCTTTGGGAAATGCTGTTGTGCAAATCAGTTTCCTCTCCATCGCTGTTCTCCTCTCAGCCTCTCTGGGAACAAGGGAAGTCTTTGAAGTTGATGAGACAACTGTTTAGACAGATGTCTCATCAGCTTCAAGTATTTCTAGAGCTCAATCAGATTTACCATCATCAAATTATGTCTGTGTTCAATCTCATTTCCTTGGTTGTTCTCAGGATGTGGAACACGTTATATGGAAAATGTCCTGAACTGGACCCTGCAGCTACTGGGCACAGCTTTGTTCTTGCAGAATTGTAATGCTCACTTCACTTAGACTGCATCAAAAAGATCTTTTCAGTCACAATGGCAGGATCACTTCAAATCTTCGTTCACAATATGGTTACAAATAAAGATTATGTGACAAACAAATCTGAACTTGCTTGGACATCCAGCCAAGTATAGATGAAACAATGAATTGATTAGTAATTGAAAGAAAACTGTTTTGATAACTAATTCAATTATTGAGTGTTTTAAAAAAAACCTTTTCAAGCAAGTATGTGTGTGTTATAGGAGCCTGAGACCTGGACGTCACCTGGAGGACGACAACAGTGTGCCTGAACTGGCCCACATCCATCCCAGAGAAAGACCTGACTGGGAGGAAACCATCAGTGCCATGGTGAGTCACACACAGCTGTTGTAATGACTTTCTCTTATGCATAGACACACATGATTGCACAGATATGACAGGCACTGTTTTGAACAATGTCTTCGTCTCACCCAAGGCCAAAAAAAGCTCAAACTGTGTTGTTCCAGGCATGTCAGACCCAGTGATAACACGCCACCACACTAGTCTTACTCACTACTTGTCACTATCTTATCAGAGTCTGTTTTCAGCCCAATGCATTGATTAGTTGTCTTTCTCTCCTATCGAAAAGATGTCTCCACTGCTCCTGAAACAATGTCACACAGTTATGATTGATGCACATGATTGCTGGTGTTCTGAATCTTCCCAGCTATAAACTCTTTGCATAGCTAGTCAGCTACCTGTCATCTGCTTGTTTCAGCCCACTTCTACATGCTGGATTCCCTTCACCAGACAGTATCATTCATTATTTCCTTTCCTCTTGTCTTTGGTGTGGGTCTTGCTTATTGCATCAGCAACACGCTGAAAATGAGGCCGTCTCCATGGTAACATGTCGAGCCACCATAGTCTGCGCGTGGTTGGAACCCTATTGCAAGTGCTTCTTTCGATTGGGCAACAGAGAGAATGAGAAACAACAATGCCACCAGGCTAATGAATATTCATCACAGAGGCGGAGCTTTTAATTCTGCATGTCTGCTATAGTTTTGCTCAATATTTGATATAAGAGGGACCCTATACTGGAGTAGCATGCATTATGTATGCCTCTGGTACCTCAAGGAGAAGCACACAGCAACTTAGTGTAAGCTGTCACACCGGTGCCCTGTTGCATTGTGTAGGGTAGATCATATTCTGTGTTGATGGCAGAGCAAGGCATAAAGGAAAGGAAAATAAAGAAACGTTCCCAAATCCCAGCAATGCAATAATAAAATGAACACTAGAATTGTCTTTAGAAAAACACAGTGCATTTGGAATACACCTATGGTTACACACACATTAGTCAGAACCCCTTTTTAGCATAACCATAAGCTTAACCAGTTCAACTAGATGCCTGTGCCCCAACTCCTACCGTAACACCAAACTAAATACTAACCTGAGCCTTAAATCTATCTTGAAGCATGGTGGTAGCAGCGTCATGTTATGGTTAGGGGTAGGGGGACTGGTCTAGTTCTGGATAAGGCTGGTTAAATGTATTAAACTGTACAGCTTTACCATGGTTATCCTGCAGTCATAGGTCTTTTCATTAAACAATGTAAAGCCTAACCCACATGTTTTTACAATGAGCAGTCAGTGATGTTGAAAATTAACGCCTGTTGGTCATTTGAATGGATCTGTGAAACCAAATCTAAATGGAGAACTGTCGAACAGTTAAAAGTAGCAGAGATTTATTTGTATGCACCAGCTGGGTTGCTGATGTTTGTATATTTTAGGCAAGGAGTGCAGAGATCCCTGAGCTGCGCACGGAGCCCCTCATGCGCTCATGCAGCAGCAGCACGGCCAGCATGAAGGTCAAGAATGTCAAGAAGTGAGTAGACACATGCACACCTGTCTGTTCACCTTTCTCACATCTCTCCTTCCATCTGTTCATCTCTATTTACCTCCCCTAACTGGCTGTTTATCAGTTCTGTTTCCTGTCTATTCCTGTTTCTGTCTTCCTCCTCCTTTCACTCCCTCTGTTCGCACTGCACTCTGTCTTACACTAGCCATGTATACTTTTAACATATTATCAAGAGCAGAGGATGACGTTCTAACCAAACTCTGTGTGTTTTGTTTCCAGACTTTGCTTCACCAAGGGCCACTTCCCAAAACTGGCAGAGTGCGCTCACTTCCACTATGAAAATGTAGACTTCGGCACAATTCAGGTAGAGACCTTAAAGACCTTTTCCACATTAAGGCAAAGTATTATTTTAGATCCCAAATGATGAAGACTTCAACCTAGGGCTGTGAGATCGCCCTTAGAGCACTGTCTGTGTTATCAGTAAGTTTTTAAAGTTTTGGCAAAAGTGGCCATTTGAAATTACAGCAACATGGATGTCAGCCATAGTGTAGCTGAAGCTTTGAACTGGTTTTTCAAAGACTTAATGCTGTTTCTAGTCATTCCCTGCATGTTGGGTATGAAACAGGAAAACGATGTTCATAAAGACTTTCATGTCTCCCAGTTGATGTCAGAAGTTCTTTTTGCTGTTGATGTGATGGGGATGGCTCATGGTTTGCATTTGTTTGATATCTTCTGGAATGTCAATAATAGCAGGACCTCATTCACTGCAGCGTCACACACCTTAGAATTTGAATAAAGTTACTCAAAGGTTTAGCTCCTGCCAGCATGAGTAGTCGCTGTAGCTTGGCCTTTCCTGTCATTGACCACCTGGCTGTGGAGTCACAGGCTGAATACAAGAAGCGGCCAGTGTTTTTAGTTTTTTTTTCTTCTTATCCACTCCTCAGTTCACCCAGCAGCTCTTTCGATCTTTTCTGTGTTTTTCAGTTTGTTTTCCAATGAATGGATTTTGTATCATTTAATCTTTTTTACTTGCCATCAAAATGCTGCTAGGAACGTGGATTAAACTTTGAACTGAATGCCTTCTTAAAATTTTCTCTCCACCTCCCCTCGTCGGAGGTACTCTTAATTACAAAGCTAAAACTAAAGAGTTGATATAATCCAAAGTGAGTACCCTAGTAATTGTGAGGAAAAACAAGCCTCCTCCAAAGTACATTCTATTATCCATCCATTATCTAGATCACTTGTCCTGTAGAGGGTTGTCAGGGGGCTGGAGCCAATCCCACCTGACAATGGGCGAGAAGCAAGGTGCGCCCTGGACAGGTCGCCAGTCTATCATGGAGCTGACACACAGAGACAGACAACTAGTCACAGTCACAGTCACTTTCACACCTACGACCAGTTTAGAGTCACCAGTCTAGCCTGTGTGTCTTTAGACTGTGCAAAGAAGCTGGAGAAAACCCACCCAGGCACAGGGAGAACAACTAAGATTTAATGTAAATGTGTTTATGTAAAGGGACTGCCCACTAATTCTACAGAGTAAGTTCAGTTTTCTCATTGCAAACAGTAGCCTGTGATGTCTTCTGTGGCTCTGGAGGGATGCCAATACGGTTGTCTTGACATGAGCTTTAGACTTGAAATATGTATCAGAAACTCAGCTTTCCAAACTGAAGGTGTGGCTTTTGAATAAGTGAGCCCTTAGGAGGATCTGATGAAATACATTTCTGAGTTGTAGTGTGCCATAAACTGTGTGATGCAGTGTTTTTGGAGTGTGACACGTTACTAGGGACTAAACGTCAGAATATCTTGGCCTCTGCTGCTTCTGTTTGTAAACTCTGGTCTCTTGTGTCTCCCAGCTTTCAGTCAGTGCGATAATAAAACACTGGAGAGCTCCTTAAAGTGATAAAGCATTGATTTTTAGAAATCACAAAGCAGATTACTCTGTTCTGTTTTTTTAGGGTGTAAGGATGTGGTTCCGTAGTTCTCACCAGTGCAGGATAAGATTGGCTCTGATGATTTTGTGGCAGTGAACAGGAATAAGCAGGAGGAAAAGATGGCCAATTTTATGTCTAGACTTTTTCAATAGGTCTATGTAATGGTATTTTTACTTTCACAAAATGTATGCGAGCTCCTCATAAAGGCTGTTCAGTCCCCATCTTTCCCAGACTTTGTCATTACTGCTAAGCAACCAGTAGGGGTCAGCACTCAGCTACACTTACACTTGTTGCTGCCCAAAGGGCAGGGTGAGAGGATCTGCTGAACAGCTTATGTCTACCTCACCTGCAGGTAGTTTGTTGATCTAACTCGGGTTACAGAACAGAATCTGTCCTTTCACTGCATGCATAAAGGAAACTCTTCAGCTGAATTGTATGTAATCAGTAGATGGGTACTCCTTTTGTTATCCCAGCTGTGTGTGCTGGCTGCTTGTCCTGGCACAGAGCAGCATTTTCATATTGCTTTCAAGTAGCCCAGCCTCTTTGTTTTGCTTGGTGCTTTTAGCATTCAGCATAGGTCCTGCCTTTTCTCCTGAGGGAACAGAATCCCAGTGGACACTCACATCTACTTTGCTTGTGTCAGTATAGTTTGTTAAATTTTACCCCAGCTAAATATGATTGCTTGTTTAATGAATTGGTCACAAGTGTATTCTGTTTATTTGGCCCGTTTGATTCTGACAGGATGTAAATATTTGAGGAACTGAAGAAGTAAAACTGCTGCTGAGTTAAGCATTCAAAGAGCGTTCATCCAATGCATTTTTTATGTTATGTAGGTATTTGACGGATGTGTCTGCCAAGTTGCAGTGCGCCATGAAATCAGTTTTTGTGAAGTTTTCTTGTTTTTCACATACTCAAACAGTTCATGATGCATACAGATATATAGAGTGAACACATTTACTGAGAAATATATTCTGCACTATTTGCAACCTTGCCATTTGTCATCTGTTGTAGCTGCAGCTGTTGAAATTGTCAGAAATTGTTTCACCTGTAAAGTTTAGGAATACATTTAAAATCCACCAGTAGTTATTCCTCTGAGCTCTGCATTCTGGATCATCTGTAAGACCGCAGTGTACTGGACTGATGCAGGATTACACCTTCTGCGGGGAGGCATATTATTTTATTCCAATAATAAAATTCCTGCCAAATGAGAATTTGAGTCTGGGAGAGTTTTGTTGTGGAAACATTAGGATCTCCTAGTCACAGAAGACCAAACAGGAACTTGTGTGGCAGCATTTGCCTCACGTCACTGGTATTTCACATCATATTCGACTGGTAACCAAGTTCTTGGGCAAAGGGGATTATTTCTGTTCAGCTTCCCAGTCATTGACATGAAATTTGTTTCTGAATATCTGGTGAGAATGAGGTGAAATCTTTGGAATTTGGTGTTTTCTTTTTGTTTCTTTTCTGCGAAACATCCAGTGTTTTGCTAATGAACAGCAGTTGTTAATGTAACCTGAAATGCCGGCTGTAGAGTGTTACTTTGAGGTGGATCTCTGAGCCGGGTTTGGGCATCTGCGTTTGATGATGTTGCATTTTTCCATCCTCTCTTTGTCTCCAAGTCATTTACAGTATAATGTGTAACTGTGTACTTAGGGTACAACAAATAGCATACTGTGATCCTGTTGGCTCAGGAGAGCATGCTGCTAAATCTGGCAGGAGCCCAGCCTTCTATGAGGCCACCTTACCATGAATGCCCACATACTGTTTTATGGTAATTTGAAGTGAAGTGTCAGTAAAAAAATATTTTATGGTAAATGACATTTGCACACTCACGGTGAGTGAGTTAGCATAGCCTCTTGTGTCATATATATATATATATATATATATAACTAAAACTACTGTATTTCTCAATTTAAGTTGTGCTAGTTCTCACTAGAAGCTAATGTTATGCTCAC